GGGGGTGGGACCGAGGGCTGCCGGCGTCAGGCAGCTGCGAGCCGCGCGGTGGTGCCTGCGGTTCGTGTCGGGGGCGCCCGGCTGGAGAGCGGTGTGGGGGCGGCGCGGCGTGAGGGCGATGGAGGTTTTAGTCTACTTGGAAAACTGCAGTCTCTTTAAATGGAAAGTCTCTGTAATTGGGGGTAGCTCTAGGAGGAGGCGGGGATGGGCCCTGGAACTGGCCCTGCTGAGGCCCCAAGCACTGGACCCATCGCGGGGTAGGCCAGGCCCAGGGACTGGCCAGCGCGAATGCAGATGCTCGGCCCACTGAGGCGGCGGCCAGAATGCCAATTAATTACGGCGAGAAAGAGGACTGTCACCCAGGCCGGAAATACCCCTGTTGCCAAGATCAATGCATTCTTTCCCTGTAGTCAGGTAAATAGGAAATCGTACTCAGAAAGCGGTTTATTGGTTTACCTTGAGAAACCCTTGTCTCACTGCCTGCAAGCACTCGCCCCCCGCCCGCAGAGGCGTGGGGAAGCCCGAGGCCGGTGGTGAGTGTACGAGCATCAGGCTCGGAGCTCTGCAGCCATTTCTCCTAAGGGTGGGGCTGCAGCCAGCGACAGTCCATTGGCTAGCCCCCCTCCCCAATCCCTATAGCCTTTCTTTAGGTTTTGTCAGTATTTCACAGCTTACTGTGTTGTCTACTTCAAGTGATGATGTTCAAATCTTTTTTTTTTTTTTACATTTTAACTTTCACAGGAAGTCTTATTTCCCTTGTTTTTCATGTTTTGGGGGACTGATGGTTCTGGGAAGCCAGCTGGAACCCCAGGTATCGCTGGAGAAGGGAGTATGGGTGGGACTTGTTTCAGGGAAGATGATAAGTTCTGCTCTAGACACGCTGAGGTTAAGAAAGTCTGGCTGCAGGTGTTTAGAGGGCAGGTGGGTACTTTTGATGGGTGGAAAGTTAGGAACTGAAAGCGAACTTGGAAGATAGATTCAAGAGCAGAATGTTGGGACTGAATCTTGAGGAGAAAGCACATATTCTGGCAATCTGAGGAGAGAATGGAACCATCAAAACAGAAAAATTAACCCAAGATGGTGGGGTACCACAGAAGCCAAGGAGAGGAGGCTTTTAAGGGGCAGGGGTGGGTAGGAGTGGGTGGGGGTGAGATCTGCATTGCCTACTGCTGGGGAAAGATCAGGGGAATAAAGGTTGCTCGGCATTTGTTAAGGCTGAGGGGAGGGAGGGTATGTTGGGCAGTTATTCTGTTTGTGAGTCAGAGAGCCCCACCAGGCCCAGGTTCAAGTCCCAACACAACTCTTTACTGTTACCTTGTTAGTTCCTCGTTTGTGGAATGGGGTAATAACAGCACCTATGCCTGGCGCATGGGAGGCAGTTAACAACTAGTCACCAAGTCTCAGGCACTACTGCAAGCGCTGTACAGGTTTGCACTCAATGGAGCCTCACAGCAGCCTGCAGCGCTCTACAGAGGAGGAAACTGAGGTACAGAGGAGGAAACTGAGGTACAGAGGAGGAAACTGAGGTACAGAGGAGGAAACTGAGGTACAGAGAAGTTCCTTGCTCAAGGTAACGTGCGTGTAAAAGCTGTAGAACTTGTGTTATTTCAGTAAAGTAATGGTAATTCAAATTATGAGGTATTTAGAGGTGTTAGAAATGGCCATTGATTGTGGACTACTTTTCCAAGTTTTCCTCATGGAAGCTGTTTATTTAGCTGGTTGTTTTCAAAGACAGAATTGATTCTCTAAGGTTTGCTCCCAGGCAGTGGCAGCCATTGTTTTAATTATGTGGTTTTCTGATCAAAGAACTAGATGTTATTGTTGCCATAATTCTGTTAGAGTTTTGGGGTCTGTGTCTGTAAGCAAATTGGAAAATGACCTTCATAAGCAAATTATTGCTTTAATGTATTTCATTGATCATTGTTTTAATCATTTATGTTTTATCATTGGGAGAAATCTTGGTAATATTTTATTTTTTCATGAAAATATTATGAAAGTGCATCCAGGATTTCTCTTCAGAGAACTGTGCTAAGAAGCGAAATGTGATATGAATTTTTACATGAGAAAAGTCAGGTTGGTAAGCAGTCTGTATTCTCTGAAGAATGGAAATAATTCTAATTTTTAGTTCTTTTACTTAAGTGGTTGCTTATGCATGAAATGATTTTTGTTTTGTTTTCAAAGCTGATTTTAGGAAGAAGAAAGATGGAAAGTGGTGCAGTTCTGCTGGAATCCAAATCCTCCCCATTTAACCTTTTGAATGAGATGCACCAGTTACGCCTCCTGGGCCACCTGTGTGATGTGACTGTCAGTGTGGAGTACCAGGGTGTCCGGGAAGAATTTATGGCTCACAAAGCAGTGCTGGCAGCCACCAGCAAGTTTTTTAAGGAAATGTTCCTTAATGAGAAGGCTGTGGATGGCACAAGGACTAATGTCTACTTAAATGAAGTACAAGTTGTTGATTTTGCTTCATTTCTTGAGTTTGTCTACACTGCAAAGGTACAGGTGGAAGAAGATCGGGTGCAGCGAATGTTGGAAATGGCTGAAAAGCTAAAATGTTTGGACTTATCAGAAACTTGTTTCCAATTAAAGAAACAGATGTTAGAGTCGGTACTTTTGGAGTTGCAGAACTTTTCAGAATCTCAGGAGGTGGAAGCGAGCAGTGGCTCCCAAGTCACTGTTACTCCTGAGTCTAGGGCAGATGCGGCCATGGACGGTCCTCATTCCAGTGGCCTTTCGGATGCTTCGGATTGCCCAGTGGAGAGAATCAGCAATGGCGTGCTGCCAGATATGCCACTAAAGAAATCCAGGGAGAAACTAGACAAGAAAAGAGATGTAGTGAAGCCTCCCTATCCAAAAATCAGAAGAGCTAGTGGAAGACTGGCCGGAAGAAAGGTATTTGTGGAAATCCCTAAAAAGAAGTACACAAGAAAACTCCGAGAGCAGCAGCAGAGTGCTGAGGATGACACAGGGGCCTACAAGTGTCCTCAAGACCAAAGCCCAGACAGTGGCGGAGCAGAGACGGGGCCACTGACAAGAGATATGAATCCAAAAACCGAGGACTGTAATGCTGCTGTTGAGCTGGAGGAAATGATGCAGAAAGCAGGGGAGGAGGAGGAGGAGGAAGAGGAGGATGATGAGGGGGATAAGAAGAAGAGTAACTTTAAGTGCACCACCTGCGAGAAAGCGTTTTTGTATGAGAAGAGCTTCCTGAAGCACATCAAGCACCACCATGGAGTTGCTGCTGAGGTCGTTTACCGCTGTGACACCTGCAGCCAGACCTTCGCCAACCGCTGCAACCTGAAGAGCCATCAGCGCCATGTGCACAGCAGCGAGCGCCACTTCCCGTGTGAGCTCTGCGGGAAGAAGTTCAAGAGGAAGAAGGACGTCAAGAGGCACGTGCTGCAGGTCCACGAGGGCGGCGGGGAGCGGCACCAGTGCCAGCAGTGCGGCAAGGGCTTGAGCTCCAAGACGGCCCTGCGGCTCCACGAGCGCACGCACACGGGCGACAAGCCCTACGGCTGCACCGAGTGTGAGGCCAAGTTCTCGCAGCCTTCTGCACTTAAGACCCACATGAGGTAGGGGTAGGTCTCGCTCGTGTATTGGGGTGTCGTGGGAAAACTCAGAGACCCGCCCACAGTATGTTTCAGAATGTGGCTTGTTTGTTTACTGGAATTTTCTTTTCTTGAAAATGCATTATGTTGAGAAATTGAGGTTGTACTAGGATTTGGACCACTGTGGTTATATCTCTGGATTTCTCACATTTTAACTTGTTCCCTTTAAAAGCTGGAGACTATTTTGAGATACCTTTGATTTCTCTTGCTGGGTAGAGAAGTTATGAGAGATCGCTCTTCAGCGTTTTGGAAGTGTTGTAGAGTTTCTACAGGCCTTAGGCCAAGGGAGACCCTTCTCAGCCTTCTCCTTTCCGTGTTACTAGCACAGAATCCTGGAGACAGAATTGAGCTGCCCTGCTCCTGTGCAGGGCTTGCCGAGAACTTCAGGCCCAAGAGGCCATCGTGACCTCCACTGCAGGCAGGGCTCCACACTCTCCTGAGTAGCCTGTGGTGCTAACGGCGCCCTCCAGACTGGAGGAAGGGTCAGTTACCTGTATTTCTCTTTCCCTGGCTCTTCATTTAGAACTTAGGTTCCGTGACCATCTGGGTCCGACAAGCCGATTCAAGACCTCAGTGAGGTGACACTTAGGACGTATGCAGTTCTCAGGAAACTTCTCTGGTCTTATATCTCAGGTCTTGGAAGGTGTGTCACTGGATAAACGGCAGTGAGGGCCAACTGTGCTTTCTGTTAATTTGTTTCTGAAGTGTAGGTGGGTGAAATGCAGTTTTTAACTAAGTTTCCTTACAGCACTGGGTATTGATACCTGAAATCCAGACAAGCAGCTGTTTCCACTCTGCACTAGATCTGCCCTCAAACCTGGGCCCATATTTGGTGTTGATCGTCTTCTACTGTATATACTGTGTTTAAAATACTTGGCTTAGGAAGTGCTCAGTAAATCCTGGTTGAATACTACTACAGTAGTAGTTGTGAAAGTAAAGTCCGTATACATATTCCTCAGACACCGGGTTCTCTCTAGATGGGTTACAGTATTAGGAAATGAGAGTGAATGATCATGTGGTACCTCATCAGCAATAGTTCCTAAGGTGTTTGTGGTTGATTATTTGAAAGAGGAAATATTAGAAAGTGCTATTTAGTGTTTTAAAAAATATGCTAAGGCATGATCTCTACCTGAAAATGCCTTACATCATGAACAGTGAGGTAATTGGGCAGATAGAGATGAGCATTCAGTCTCTTACGGGGAAATGTACCAATCTGACGGCCTTGTGCAGAAATGGATTTTGTTATGGGATGGAGATTACGGGCCTCTTTTCCTTTCACTTCCGTCATTCTCATTAGGCCTCTTGGAGTAAACTATTTTTCAGGCTAGAATGGAAATTGTATTGCAAAGTGAGGTTTGAAATACATCCTAAGTTATCATCTGAATGTTGTACTTTCAGAATTCATACAGGGGAAAAACCTTTTGTCTGTGATGAATGTGGTGCAAGATTCACTCAGAACCACATGCTGATTTATCATAAAAGGTGTCACACAGGTAAATACTCATGCTGTTGTGATTGAATGTCTTTCTTAGCTGTAGGAGGAAACTGGGATTGAGTTAGAAGTTGGCATCCATTAAAGCAGTACAGGCTAGAGCAAGCGTAAATACAAATCCACCCATTGCAGCCTTTACACTGTGGGGCAGTACCAATCAGCATATGGCCCTTTGGGGAAGTTATTTGGTAAGTCTTACGTATCGAGGTATGAAACAGTTCCTGCCGTTTTCCTCAGAAATTACATTCCGGGAATCTGTCCTTAAGAAATGGCCCAAAATATGAGAAAAGCTATATTCTATTAGCCATCTTCTTGCTATTTTTAATAACAAAGAATTGGAAACAATCTAATTGTCCAACTATGAGGAAGTGGTTCAGTAAACTCTGGCAAACCCAACCATCAGCTTACGACCCACCTGTTTGGAGTAACAGTTCTGAACAGTATGAAAAAGCACCTACCTGTGCTAGGATGTTGAATTAAAAAATGCACAATTATGCAGTCCCAGCTATCTTGAAAATCTGCACATAAAAGACTAGAAGAAAACAAACTGTTATGTGATGTATTAAGGTGGTGGGATTCTCTCATTTCTCTTCTCCAAAATTTTTGTGATATGATTTTATGTGAGGGAGAAAAATTAAGTTGGCCTTATTCTGATTCAACACAGTAACTGTGAGGTTCAGAACCTTGTATACTATACAGAAGTACACCAAGCCTAACTGTTGTATACTGTGGTTATTGTACTACTGGAGTTCTTCCTCCTTGGCTTGCGTTCTTTACTTTTATTCCTAAGCACTGTCATATGAGCCTCAAGTTCGAATGCAAGAGGCACAGAGATGAGGCATTTATCCACATGAATTACTAGACTGCAAAATGAGCACACGGTTGTCTAGTGGAAGTTTGGGGGTGGGGACAAGGCCAGGTCACATGGAAGGATTAAGTCACAATTGGTCCTTTAGTGAGAATATTAATGGATTTAGATTTTGCTGAAACCAGTATTTATATTTTTATGTTTGTGAAATCAGGGGTACATCTAATAATTAGATGAGTCTGATTTGTGGGATCAAGGATTCAAACTACAAAAAATGAGATGGTATTAAAATTTTTTCTTGTCCTATAATCCAATCAAGTTGAGTCAGTTGCTGCTGTAGAATAGTTATGCATATGTATCCAAGAGGGGTTTTTATTTGGTAAATAGCCACAGAAGTGCTTCTTTGTTCCTTGATAACAAACCCAACAATTCCTTCAAAAAGAAAGTATAAAATTACTTTCTGGTTTGGAGTGACTAAACTTCCAAAATAGTGAGCCGACTGAATTCTAGCCTAGTGAAATCTGTCTTGGGTTTTTCAAGGATACTTCATGCCGACTTTCCGCAAGGAGCAAGCAGCTTTAGTGAAGAGATGTTTTATGATAGCTTTAACTAGAGCGTGCAGCGAGCCAGGGGTCAGCCAGGGCCCTCTGAAGAATGCATATACGTTAAGAGTTGGGACCTACTGCTCTTCCCTTGGGTTTTCAGTGCCTGTACTGTTTCTAACTTTTCATTTTGTGTTTTCATGTAGGTGAAAGACCTTTTATGTGTGAAACATGTGGCAAGAGTTTTGCTTCTAAGGAGTATTTAAAACATCACAATAGAATCCACACTGGATCCAAACCCTTTAAATGTGAAGTTTGTTTCAGGACTTTTGCCCAGCGGAATTCACTTTACCAGCACATTAAAGTCCATACAGGTATGGCTGGAATGTCACCAGAGAAGAAAGTTCAGTTTGGCATGCAAAAGCATCCCAAAGGTTTTAGTTACTAGAAAGTTATCTGGAATTAAGCTTTAGGAGAGAACTTTGGCGAATCTGTGTATGTTATAACAGCATGTTTTTACTTTGGAGGTTCATTTCTGGCTCTGAGAAACGGAGTAGAACCACTTATGGGTGCAAATGGGAGACAACCCAAGTCCCTTGATTACTTGGAGTTTTTATTGAGGAGGACAGACAGTGCACAGGTGGTATGAATGTGGATATGTGAACATATTAACAATTTGCAGGTTAGAATTAGGGATAATGATCCATATGTGCTATTATATATACATATACTTGTATATATACATGTATATGCAAATTTAGTTATCATGGACCTGGAATTTAAAAAAAATTACTCCATTACTGTAGATAATAGGTGATAATCTATATAGGTATAACACCAGCTGAAGTGTGGATTTTGGCCCTTGTTTGGGATCACAGATTTGAACCTCTGTCGGTTGACCCTTGAGTTGTTCTCAACATAGCCTGCCTTAGAATGGAATGTGAAGCTTTGCCAGTGGTTTTCAAACAGCATTATTCCAGAGTGCATTCAGAATTAAATACAGTAGGCTAAAGAGACCAACTAGTTAGTTTTCTTCTCTTCCTGTCTCAGGGGAACGTCCCTACTGTTGTGATCAGTGTGGTAAGCAGTTCACCCAGCTCAATGCTCTCCAACGCCACCATCGAATTCACACAGGGGAGAAGCCATTCATGTGCAACGCGTGTGGGCGGACGTTCACCGACAAGTCCACTCTCCGGCGGCATACCTCAGTAAGCGATAGTATGGCTATCCTTAGACACACACAACCATAAACAGTTAAACGCCTGTCATCATTCTGTAAGGTAGTTAGAGAAGCCAACAGGTGTTTCTCCTCAGGTTTTCTCCACAGTGAGTGTATGTACAGCAGGGCGAATGAAGCGAAGATACAAGCTTCAGGGCCCAAGGAAAGCACAGTCACGTGCTGCCTTAGTGATGATGGTGCAGAAAGACATTGACAGCTAGTGAAAGAAGGGCTTTCGCTGTGCTAGAAACCACATTTAAGTTGAAGAGACTATCATTCTTTTCAAACACATTTATTTATTTAAAAAAAAAAAAGTACTTGCTAGTAAGTATTTGTGAATTGGGAGATGTCCTTGACACACTCAGTGACTTATGTTTGTCTTTGGTTTGTAGATACATGACAAGAATACTCCATGGAAGTCTTTCCTTGTTATTGTAGATGGCTCCCCCAAGAACGATGAAGGGCACAAGACTGAACAGCCTGATGAAGAATACACACCATCCAAACTTTCAGATAAATTGCTGTCTTTTGCAGAAAACGGCCATTTTCACAACCTGGCCCAGGTCCAGAGCAGCATACCTGCCGTGCACGAGAACAGGTCAGCAGACATGGCCTGCAAGCCGGATGATTCCGTGGTACCCCAGGACTCTCTGCTCGCCACTACCATAAGTGATCTTAGTGAACTAACTCCACAGACGGGTGTGATGCCCCCACAGCTTCACTCTCTGGCGAACATGGAATAAGAGCTTGAAGTGACATGCCAGGCAGGTCTCGTCCTGCACACCTTTGAGTGTGTGACGGCTGTACTTGAGATGATGCCGGGGGCTAAGAAAAAAAATTGTCCATGGGTAGAGATCATGTGCGCAAGAATGACTTTTGCAGATTTTCCGTTAACTTGCACGTCTTTGTCAAAGCATTTTTAAAGCTTTCCCTTAAAAATCCTGATCTGCATGATCTCAGCTATACTTCATCAACAAACAAGGCAGTTAACATAACCTCACCTGATTCTGGGGTAGGTTGTATGCATTAATCATTCTGATGCTTGATTATCTTAATTAGTCTGAACAACTGCTTGACTGAATTGTACACAGCATTGATCAGCTCATGAAATTGCTGTTAGCAGTCTCCCAGGTCTCTCACCCTGCCTTATCCTTCTGTGTGGGTTCCTTTCTTTGATACTCTTAAGGTCTTTTTCTACCAAGTCTGAGTCTATGCTGAAATCAGACTGGGGCCACGTATCTTCAGGTGTTTCTTCCCTGTCCAATTGAAGCAAATCAGATCTGCTCTGGGAGCTCGTGACTGGGACCGGAGAAATGGATTATTGCATTCGTTTTCCTCCTGTTTGTAGGCACTGGAATAGGAGAAGCTGAACACATGCAAAACAGCTCAGTCTAACACTAGTTACATCACATATGCAGCCAGGAAATTGGTCATAAAGTTATCTTTTGGAATGAATGAGATGTGGCAGTCTGCTTTCATTCCTAAAAATCTAATTACGTAAAAGCTGTCCTACCAAAGATTCTAGCAGCAAAATACTGTAGTTTTTGTAGTTGTGAGAAATTAATCAAGAGGCAAATTTAGGAACACTTGAATGCTGTGTAGTCATTTTATTTACAAACAGCAAAATGAGGTGTTTGTGGAAAAGTCTTAGGGCACTGAGTATTAATATTTTTGCCAGGTTTTTCTGACTTGATTTCTGTAACTTCCAGAGACCCAGACTTTCTCATTTCCACATCAAAAGACTGCAGTATACAAGTATTTGCCACATATTTGTTTCTGAGGGAGCATGCAAGAATACAGCAGAAGGGACCAAAAGCCTTGGCGTGTTCGTCCTCCAGTGTCCCTTGAGAACGATTGTGAAGAACCAGGAACTTCTGCTGTTCCTCTGGCTGTCTCCTGCTGAACATTGCTCAAAGTGAATTCACAAGGAAAAGATAATTCTGCTGTATTTGCTACACCTGATTTTTGGTTCTGGTGACTTTGGGATTTTGCCACATGCTTGTGTGCTTGTAAATGCTTTAATTCACACGTAACCCTAAACATTAAAAAGAAAAACCTTAAAGGAGCAGAGTTCTTTTGCTCACTACTTTTCCCCTACATTTTAATTTATTAAACATACTGTGAAAACAATTTCATTTTCTAAGAGAAAGGTACTTTATCCTTAAGTTTCAGGATGAAGACAAAGCTGCACGATGCCAGAAGCTAATGAGGGAAGACTTTTTTCCAAGTGCACACTTTGTTTTAACTTGTAACATGTTAAAGTAAATTAAAGTCAGTGTAAGCTGTTTCAGGCACTGATAACATTTTTTACATCTGCTCTTGAAGATAGTACTTCAAATTCCGTTCTGATGTACAGAACAAAGTATATTAACAAAATACATTAACACAGCCATTTTATTCTTAGTAACAGGAGAATATGCCTGCCCAGCTGATGATGTACTGTTTCATGGGATAAAGTCATCTTGATGACTAGGAATTTAAATAACAGATTATTTTGTTACCTACTGGAAGAAGTTTTGTCTTGAATTCGTTTCTTCAGAAGTTCTACAAAAAAAAGTCTTAATAAATGTTTGTTTTATACAAATAGTTTTGCAGTTCTAATTTTATTTGCATTATTAGAATTTAATGTTTAGAAATAAAATTCGTAATTGAGACAAGTATAATCTGTTTAATTATATAAATGATAAAATTAAAAAATCAGGGTCTTTAAGCCTTTATTCAGTATACTTCTTAATCTATTTTTTAAAATGTGTTGCTCTTAACTATCTTCAGAAGTGAAGGACCCAGATACGAGCAGAGCTGCCATCAGCTGACACAGAAATAACCTGTGTAGCTCGGTACTGCCTAGCACATGAGTGGTCGTGGTGCTGTTCTGCTACAGTGTCTTCCATGCAGTATGAAAGCACACATCAGACTAATTACATGCATTTCACTGGCCCTTTCCCAGGAGAACAGGGACACCCACAAATGACTCTTAGAGGAATTGGGGGAGCGGGGGAGACCCGCCCCTTGTCCTCTTTTTCCAAGGACAGCCACACTGGGTGAGAGTGAAGAGAGTCCCAGATGGCCTGAGAGGAAGGTGCCCTGTGACCCAGAGCATCCACAAAGGCTACTTAGGAGCTGACGAGGAGGCTTCCAGCCAGTCTATGGGAAACATTCTTAGCCCAAACTCCAAAGGGCTCAGCAGATTTTGGTTTAACCAAAATTTTTATTGTACAGAGTTTGAAAAAATAGACAATGTGGTGGGGGAAGACCTTTGTTAAAAGTGATTTTAACAGAAACGTGATTTTGCTGTGGGTAATTATCCAAACTAACAAATTTGAGTGTAACTTACAATTTTAACCTGTTACATTTTATACCTTGTCACACGCAGGGAGTTCAACTTTTTCCGTAACAAATGGCTTAACTAAGTTGACGTTATTCATATCACTTGGAAATAATTTCAGTTGGCCACAGAGGCACTCATGCAAAGGGCTGTTTGGTTCATGTGTCAGTGGAAAAGGGCAGATGTGAACTCGGAACTGCCATTTGGGCTCCGATACGGCAGAGCAGGCTACAGGCATGAACTGGGGCCATCTAGCCATGTCACCCCAACTGTGCCTCAGA